TGTGTTTATTATTATATTTCGAAAACACCACAGTTTTCATGCAGCTCATACCATATTATTTTGTTGTATTATTTCCACCACACCTTAAATGCCGGTCCCTGAAAATATTGTCTGACATAAACCTGTCCGTGGGGCAAAAAAGGTTGGGGGCCCCTGTTTTAAAGCAATAATTACATAACGACCAACAGGTGTGCAGCTGCAGGGAGAGCCCTACAGTGCCACCTGTTGGTCACAAACAGAATCATGACAAAGTTGGTGTTAGCTTACTTTTTAGTTGTACTGTAGATTTGTAAATACATTCTTTTGCATCAAAAGTCCTTTCTCCGTCTTGTTTTATAGTTCATGGTGTCACAAAGCGAAAAATATTTGCGTCAATGTCACTGAAGTGTTTCTTTTATCAAATAGCTAAATTTCTCTGGTTTTTGGTTAAAAACAAATGTTTTTGGTGAAACAGCTGATTACGACTACAACGGTGGGCCTTAACCTGGGTTCAATGGAGTCCTAGGCATTCAGTGAATCGGTCTCATGGGTTCGACGGAGCCTCTGCCACGGAGGTTAAGACACACCCGACTCAACATGTCAATTCATTATGACACGGCCGCTTGGCCATCGCTGGCTGCGGATGATCACTTTACATTGCTTGTCCAATCAGTGCTGCGCGAAATTTAGTTCGCTCAATGGTCACCATGTGACTGTTGTGATAGTACGTCATACTATTTTTAAATAACGATACTTAGGCCATGTAATTTCATTTACTTTTTTCTGTTTTTAATAAATGTTTTTTTTTTTTATGTCATGAATTTGTAAAAAAAATCATATTTTTATTTTTCACTCAAGAAGGGTTCGGTGAATGTGCATATGAACTGGTTGGAATTTAGTTCGCTCAATGGTCACCATGTGACTGTTGTGATAGTACGTCATACTATTTTTAAATAACGATACTTAGGCCATGTAATTTCATTTACTTTTTTCTGTTTTTAATAAATGTTTTTTTTTTTTATGTCATGAATTTGTAAAAAAAATCATATTTTTATTTTTCACTCAAGAAGGGTTCGGTGAATGTGCATATGAACTGGTTGGGTTCGGTACCTCGAACAAGGTTAAGAACCACTGGACTATAACAATGGTGCACCTTTTATTGATGTGAAAACAATACGCTCTAAATTTCATTGTACCTGCCTCATACAACTTCTTGGTGGACTGCCCAGAGCAGTACAAGCAAATCAAAGTTTTGTAATGTCCTGCACATCATCAGGATACATATTTGTTCCAAATAGTTCCAAAAAGTATGTCAGTGTTTAAATGAGGTACATCATGTTACTTTTTACAGAGCATTCAAAGCTTACTCATCTTAGAAATGTCTGGAGTTCATTTTAGGGGATTGACCTACGGGGTACAGGAATTGACAAATAACATATTTTCACCCATGTCCTGTTTTGTCTGTTTAGGCTTTAGATCTCACAATTGTCAAGGATCAACGTCTCGCAGTCGCATTCTTCCAGAGAGCAGCCGTCATGATGCAGCTTGACAGGTAGTACAAAGACGACAATTACAGGATATTTCACTTTGTTGGGTTCGGTGATTAAATGTATGTGTGGGTGTTTTGTCAGTTGATTTTATTTCCAAGAGGCAATTGTCATTTTATTTCATGATTAACTCCTCAAAATGAAACTCTCCACTGAGTGCACAGGTCTAATTACCATGAGAATATTTTGCAGTTTCCTTTTCTGCAAGAGCATTGTGAATGAAGGAATACTTCAATGATCTCCTCAGCGTATATATTTCAATTAGTAAGCAGAGTTCTGTGTTCCGTTAAGCGTTTTGTTACAGCTGCAGCTGTTGTTAAAGCCCAATATAAACAACGAGAATATGGCGAGGCCAAGTATGCTGAGATAGCAAAGCAAAAAAAAAAAAAAAACAACTCCTGATATACAGTACCTAAATGCTCTGGACAGTGTTGCAATGTGTCTTTGTGTGCACTGCGATTGGTTGGCAACCACTTCAGGGTAAACATCGCCGACTGCCAAAAGACAGCTGGGATAGGCTCCATCACGCCTGACAATCATTCACACTCACAGTCACACCTAAGGACAGTTTAGAGCACAGGTGTTGAAGTCCGGTCCTTGAGGGCCGGTGTCCTGTATGTTTTCCATCCCTCCCTGCTGCAACACACCTGATTCAAATGATCAGGATCACTATCTGGCTCCGATAGAGCTGCTGATGAGCTGATCATTTGGATCAGGTGTGTTGCAGCAGGGCCCTTGAGGACCGGACTTCGAGACCTGTGATTTAGAGTGTTCCATGAGTCTACCATGCATATTTTTGGAATGTGGGAAGAAACCAGAGTACCCGGAGAAAACTCAACGCAGGCACAGGGAGCACTTGCAAACTCCACACAGGAAAGCCGAGCCCGGATTTGAACCCACGATTGCTACACTGTGAGGCACACGTGCAAACCAGTCGATCACCATGCTGCCTTTGAGTTATAATCAATACAGCAAGAATAATTCATTTGAATGTTAGTAGAATTTTCCCTAAAAGTAGTTTGATTCGTATTTGGATAGACCACAGGTGTCAAAGTCAAGGCCCGGGGGCCAGATCTGGCCCGCCACATCATTTTTATGTGGCCCGCGAAAGCAATTCAAGCATGTCAACTTCCATCCCTACAGTAAAACCTACTCTGTTTAAATGAACCCCAACCAAATCTGTAGACCCTCTCCTGTTAAGCCACAAAGCTCGAGAAAAAAACAAAAAAATTAATTGTCTTGAACAGGTGTGGCCTTTCCTGATGCTGATGAATTACTTTTCACTCTCTTCAGTCCAGGTGGCCATGTTATCAATATGCATGCAATGAGACAGAAATGAACAAAACCTGTGCCTCTCGTCTTTGAGATTGTTGTTTTTCGCCATTTGTTTGTTCGTCACTTGTACTTCTTGTCTCGTGCACTGATTTGCTGCCCCCGGCCCCTGGTTAATTTGTGCTTCAGGCCCCAACATACCCTAAAATCACCTCTACTGACTGCCGAATGGCTGTCATGTGCCCCTTTCACCTTATGCAGATAGCCAGCAGTTGACACATTATGGCAGACTTTCCTGTTACCCAGCAATACATTGTCTACCACTCACAAACGACTCTCTGAAGCGCTTAAAAAGGGAGCTAAAAAAGGACGTACTGTTCTTTTAGATGTACATTGTTTCAATTACATTGTTTACATTACTCTATTTGAAATGCTTTGTGTGGCTCATGAATCTATTCTCTGTTCTTCCGCAGGTTGAACGAGGCTCTGTCTGACTGTGTCTGGGCACAGAAACACTTGAGAGGAAATATGGTCATTGATTATCGGCAACTTGGGCTGCGTTATAAGCTCTACAGCTGGCAGGTGTGACACTGGCCTGCACACACAATTCTTCCCAAGTTTTCCAAATCCACATCTCAATGCATGCTTATTTTGAATGTCTTAAATTTGTACTCAATTCGCAAAGACGGTTGTAAAATTTGTTCCCAAAGTCACAGCTTCTTGAGATGACTTGAGACACATTTATTGTTATAAACCTGTCAAGAAGTTCGAACCCAGGGGTCGGCAACCCAAAATGTTGAAAGAGCCATATTGGCCCAAAATAAACAAAAACAAATATGTCTGGAGCCGCAAAAAATAAAAAGCCTTCTAATGAAGGCAACACATGCTGTATGTATCTATTTGAGCTCCATTAACCTGCTATCTGACATCTGGCCCTGCTAATAGAAACGTGTGTCGCAGGCTATGACGCAAATATTCGTTGATGAAATGTTGACATTTGATATTTATTTGACACATTTCTACAGCATCAGAAAACGTGAATGTTTGTGTCATGTTTGTCCTCTGACAGAAACCATATTAAAAGAAAAAAACGTATTTCCCTCCCATCTTTTTCCATTTTCAGACATTTTTGAAAAGGCTCTAGGGAGCCACTGGGGGCGCTAAAGAACCGCATGTGTCTCGAGAGCCGCGTGTTAGCGACCCCCGGTCTGACCAAATGATCACATTAAAAAAATGTTTTCATGGTAAAGATGAGGAACCTGTAATTTTTTTGCTATAATTTTATGTCCGATAACAGCATTAAGGGACTTTTTAAAGCTCGTTTGATTTGATTAACTCTTTCAGAGGACATATTATCATGTTATCAGGTTACGGGTGCATGAAAGGGTTAAAACAAACCTAATTCCTCTGTTTATCACCACCGAAAACTGGTGTACACCAAACAAGTAAACGACCTGAAGAAAACGACTGAGTCGCAATGACTTTATCATGTCAAATGCACCACAGTCATGTTTACATTCTTGTCCCAAACCACAGAAAACCAAAAAAAAGTTTTGATTTCCCATTTTATTAATTATACCAGTCCCTACAACAGAGAAAGTGTTCAAATGGCATTTTGGAATCAATTAATTACAGCTTCGAAAAACTGAGCACGGGAAGGCATCAGCCTAATCATGAAATCTCTCCTAGGTGTTACATAATGCAGCAGCTGTTTACTGCCGAATGGACCAGTGGGAACAAGCCAGAGATATTCTCATGTCACAAAGTCAAGGGGGGAATTTAGAGATGGCTTTGGGTAGCGTCCTGGTGAGTATCATTCATTTTCATGTGAATACGCAGTGAACTTAACCTGAGAACCAAGAACTTGCAGTGCTACAAATATCTAGGAGTTCAACTAGGAACCACGACAAAGTGGTCAACAAACCAGCAAAAGAAAATGCACATCAATAGGAATCAGCTACTGCACCATGCGTGATGACACCAGAAACATAATCTTGATCTATGTGATACTTTATGGTGTATTGCCTTGACACTCAAATCAAATCAAATGTGTTTTCTCAGGGCACTCCGGTTTCCTCCCACATTCCAACAACATGCATGGCAGGTTAATGAACCATTCTCGATTGTAGATTATAGTGTGAGTGTGAGTGTGAGTGTGAATGGTTGTTTGTCTCTGTGCTTTGGGATTCGCTGACAACCAGTTCACGGTGTACCTCACCTACAACCCAAAGTCAGCTGGGGGAGGGCCCCAGCACATCCGCAACCCTTGTGAGGATAAGCGGATTTTAAAAATGGATGGATGGATGGATTTAACAACCGAGGTGTCACAGTGGTTGACTAGTTAGCATTTCTGCCTCATTGTGCAGAGGTCATGGGTTCGATTCTGGGCTCTGGCAATTCTGTGTGGAATTTGCATATTCTCCCTGTGCCTGCGTGGGTTTTCTCCAGGTACTCCGGTTAACTCCCACATTCCAAAAACATGCCTGGCAGGTTAATGAAACGCTCTAAATTTTCCCGAGGTGTGAGTGTAAGTGCGGATGGTTGTTCGTCTGTGTTTGCCCTACGATTGGCTGGCAACCGGTTCAGGGTGTCCCCGGCCTACTGCCCGAAGACGGCTGGGATAGGCTCCAGCATGCCCTACGACTCTATATGATAAAGCAGATCAGAAAATGGATGGATGGATGGATTTCTTGATGATTATTCCACCATGATTATTATATATACGTAAATATGTTCTTCCTTATCTTAACATGTTTATTTTGGGAACCTTCTCTTGTTGAAATTAGTCATATTCATCAAGCTGGGGGTGGTTTGCCCAATTGGGTTTCGATGTGGAGTGTCTCCCCCCCTTCGAGAGTCTCTTTGCACCCCCATGTGCCTCCTTTGCTGGCCCTCTGTCACATGCCCTGCTCTTTTTAATGCAGTTCACACCAGTTCGGGGTAGAAACTAGAGAAGTAAATTTATTATAGAAAACAGATTAAAAAAAAAACGTTTTTTATGCAACATTCACACTTCTATCCCCATTTTCAAGTTATGTGACATACTAATAAACAATAATTACTAATTTTACACACACACGCACACACACGCACACACATTTAGGATCCAACCCTAAACACAGTCGTAACCAGTTCCAGGATATTTTTTTTTCTTAACTTACTATAGTTACTGTGTAACATTGCCCAATCCCGTGTTAAGGATTATTTCTTTCTTGGTTGCTCGATTTTGCTTTTGATGGTGTTTTTTTTTGTTTTGTTTTGTTTTGTTTTTTGATGGACAGGCCTTTTCGTTTGAACGGAGTCTGCTATCATGATTCAAAGAATCTCACAACGTGATGTCTGCACAGAACCGCACAAGTGTTGCTTTACCTTTTTTGTTTCGTTTTGTTTTTGCAGCCGTAGCAAAAACAAATAAATAAATGCCACTCCGATTGCTGCTGCTATTGCTACTCCATCTTACATGCTACTGCTATTGCTGTGCTATTCTTTCATCAAAATATTAGTTATTCCCGAACTAAAAAAACAAAGTCAATTGAAGAAAGGATGTTTATTTTTTTGACACAGAGAAAGGAAATCCTTGCGCCTCTCATGGTACCCGAGGATGTGGTGTTTCGTCCCAGGAAAAAAGATGTGGAACAGCTCAAGCAGAGAGACTTTTTAGGAAAAGCAAAGGTATGAAGAGAGATTGAATTCACCACTCAAAAAGAGCAAAAAGTACTGTATTTGATGCCTTTCTTAGTTTTACCTACACTCCCTTTCAAATATTTTGGAACATTTTTGGTCAGTTGCTCTCTTTTTGCTGCAGACTTAAAACATCTGGGGTTGACTTCAAAACATGAATTTGAGGCAAGAGATTAACATATATGCTTGTATGTCCAGCTGCATTATTTACATTTGGATCTGAAACACTACTAAGAATGTTAAAAGTGTTATTGTAGCAAAAGAAAATATGTTTGGGAGCAAAAGTATTGGAGCAGAGAGACTTTGGGCTTCCCTTGGGTCAACAGCTCATCATTGTGGAGGCTTTTTATGAGTCCCAGTGATCCTAGGAGCTAAATTGATTGATTTGAACCAGAGTAAGCCTGGGTAGCCCCTTTATAACTTTTACCAGTATGTGACTGTTCTTACCATGAACTTAAAATCTTATAATGCCTGCACCTTTGTAACGGCTCCATCAAGAGAGCTTATAAATCCTTGTGTAGCTCCTCTCTGTGCGTCTGACCATAATGATGTTGATTTAGTTCCCCCCATACAAATCGGTCCTGAAGGACACAAAGCCGCAGTGTCGGTTGCTTACTGTTTGGTCAGCGGAGACTGCCCAGGGCCACCAGGACTAGTTCCACTCCAGACTTGAATTTGTTTTTCGATATTTGCCCTGATTTCGATGTTTTGACTGAGACAGTGACTGATTATATTGCCTTCTGTGAAATTTTAATTATTGGAAGGAAACACATTTTTCTGACAATAAGTCATGGGTATCTAAACCCCTTAAAAATATTATGAATCTGAGGAACATCAGCTTTAATCAGGGAAACATGACCGGCAGTAGGGAGCTGCAGAAAGCAAGTATAAAGAACTAAAACTTGCCAAAATAAGAAGGAAAACATGCAATTACATTTTTACCGAGGCTTCATCCCTGAGTTCATGACATTGTCAATATGGTTCACTATTATGTTTATTTTACGTGCTGTATTTTTTAGTGCTGTCAGTTTAGCGCGTTATTATCGGCATTAATTTAAATCAATTTTAACATGATTAAATTTTTTCTCGCGAGATTAATGCGGCAACACGTCACAGCGGATGTTACGTTGCTCTATAAATAAACCAGAAACAAAACAACAAGCGCGCTGCACAGGTCTACGCCCATGTCTGTTTTGCCAGCCATGGCAGCGCGAGACATTGAAAACGGATACTTAAAGAGTTTATGAATGGAAGGTTTACTTTTAAAAAGTTGCCAGATGGTTCCACTGACAAGACCAAAGTTATCTGTATGTTTTGCAGTTGTAAACTGAGCTATCATCATAGCACGTCGAGTCTGAAATACTGTACCACTTAATGGCCAAGCACACAGCTGATGTGAGTACTCCTCCCCCTCGTCTAAGACAGACAGCTATGGATAATTTCAAAGCGAAGAAAATGGATAACACGACGAAGAACAAATTTGCTGAGGCCATAGCTAAATGTATGGCTACTGCATGCAACCCTGTCAACATTGTCCACAGCCAGACTCAAGCTGAAATCATTCACATTGCATCGAGCAACTCCACTACGGATTGCCAGTGAGAGCCTCCATTATAAGCTATGAACAGACATTGTACGTAGCGGAGAAGGCTAAGGTACACCAAGCGGGAGAAGACACTGTTTCGGGAGAGAAATAAGAGACTAGGTTGATGAGCCTCTGGTGAATAAAGAGCAGGTAGCCTGTTGAGTACGATGTATGCCACGGACACGATTGTTACTTGTTTGGAACTATTTTGTGTGGAAGGTTACCGTGTTCCGTGTCCATATAAATAAAGGGGGTGGAGCTTCTCTGTGTTCGTCTGACAGTGACGGTGCGCTGAGGCACGTCGAGAGTTCAGCGGTGCATTGGTAGCGACCACACTGAAAATAAAACGTCTCCAGTGTTGTGCCTTGAACCAAGTGTAGTCATCCGAAATGAGATATCCTTTATTTGTCCCACACTGGGGAAATTTATAGTCTACAGCAGCAAGATTGTGGGTAGAAAGAAGAAAGAAGAAAAAAAAAACAAACATCGTTCAATTAAGTGCAATATAAATACAGATATGGATAAGGTCGCAGTGCGATTTACAATTGTTTTTCACATCATTTTATTTTTTATTCAGCAGCCTGACAGCAGTCGGTAGGGATGAGCGGCGGTATCTCTCCTTCTTGCAGCGCGGGTGTAACAGTCTCTGGCTGAAGGAGCTACCTAGTGCTGTCAGGGCGTGCTGGAGGGGGTGGGAGGGACTGTCCATCATAGCTTTTAGCTTAGTTAGCATCCTCCTGTTGCCCACCTCCTCAATACACTCGCCCCTCTCAAGTCCCGTTCTGTCCTTTTTACTCGGTCTGCCCCTTGGTTCACCCCTCATCTCCGTTCCCTAAAATCCCGAACCCGGCAGCTTGAGAGACTTTACAGGAAAACCGGTCTCACTGCCCACAAAGACATCTATACAGCTCAACTAACCGTCTACAAGGACTCCATGTCTCAAGCAAAATCACATTACTACTCTGAACTCATCTGCTCCAATGTTGGAAATTCAAAGACTCTTTTTTCCCTATGGAACAAAATCACTCAACCCCCTGACTCCCTACCACCTCACTTTTACTCTTCTGACACCTGCAACGCTCTCCTCTTATTTTTCAATGAAAAAATTAACAAAATCCACCAGCATCTTGGCTCCTCTGCACCTTTCCCCTCCCCTGACCTTCCTACCCCTTGCAAACTATTTTCTTCTTTTGAACTCCCCCATTTCTCATTAATTTCAGACCTCATCAGTAAATCCAAGACCTCCTCCTGTCAGCTTGATCCCCTCCCCACAGTTCTGGTCAAATCCTGCCTGCCCTCTCTGCTCCCCTTCATCTCAGCCATTATCCATTCCTCTCTGTCTACTGGAATTGTTCCTATGCCTTTCAAAACAGCAGCAGTCACCCCAATTCTGAAAAAACCCGGTTCTGACCCCAATGACTTCAACAACCTACGCCCCATTTCCCATCTTCCTTTCATCTCTAAAATCCTTGAGAAAATTGTTGCCTCTCAACTCCACTCCCACCTCACTAACAATAGTCTCTACGAACAATTCCAGTCTGGCTTCCGTCCCCGTCACAGTACTGAAACAGCCCTCATAAAAATCACAAACGATCTTCTCATGGCAGCAGACTCTGGCCAGATCTCCATTCTCATCCTCCTTGACCTGAGTGCAGCCTTCGACACAATCTCCCACCCCATTCTCCTCAATAGACTTTCTACCATAGGCATCACCAACATCCCCCTACATTGGTTTCAGTCATATCTCACCGGCCGATCTCAGTTCATCCAACTTAAACTTTTTACTTCACAATCCCTCCCCGTCTCTTCTGGTGTTCCCCAGGGTTCTGTCCTGGGTCCCCTCCTTTTCATCATCTACCTTCTCCCACTCGGCAACATCTTTCGCAAATTTGGCATACACTTTCACTGCTATGCAGATGACACCCAGCTCTACCTGTCCAGCAAACCCGACGCCTCTCTCCCACCCTCATCTCTCTCTCACTGTCTCTCTGAAATCAAATCTTGGTTCACCCATAATTTCCTTAAACTAAACAGCAATAAAACAGAACTCCTCCTCGTCGGTACCAAAGCTACTCTCAACAAAGCCGACAGTTTTTCCCTCCAAATTGACAATGCCATTGTATCTCCTTCCCCCCAGGTGAAGAGTCTGGGTGTCATCCTTGACAGCTCACTATCCTTCCACTCCCACATCAACAACATCACCCGGTCTGCTCACTTCCACCTTCGCAACATAAACCGTCTCCGTCCCTTACTCACTCCTCACTCTACTGCTATCCTAGTTCACAGTCTCGTCACTTCCCGTATTGACTACTGTAACTCACTTCTCTTCGGTGTCCATCAAAAATTCCTCCATAAACTTCAACTTGTTCAGAACTCAGCAGCCCGGATCATCACGAGAACCCCCTCCTTCCATCATATCACCCCCATCCTCCGACAGCTCCACTGGCTTCCTGTCAAATCTAGAATCAACTTCAAATTACTTCTCTTTACGTTCAAGGCCATCCATAACCTTGCGCCCCCTTACCTGTCAGATCTCCTTCAAATTTCCATTCCCTCTCGCTCACTCAGGTCCTCATCCTCCCTCCACCTTTCTCTGCCCTCTGCCCGTCTCAGCACAATGGGGTGCAGAGCCTTCAGTCGCTCTGCCCCCAAACTCTGGAACGCACTACCACCTGACATTCGTAATATTGACTCTCTTTCCATATTTATCACCCAGCTCAAAACCCACCTATTCAGACTTGCCTATCCACCTTAAATCTTTTTATTTTTATTTTTTACTTTTTTACTTTTACTTTTACTTTTTACTTTTATTTTAAATTTTATCTGTAGTTTTATTATTTGCTCTTGGTTGTACAGTGTCCTTGAGTGCTATGAAAGGCGCTTGCAAATGTAATCTATTATTATTATTATTATTACCCTTGCGACATCATGTTGACTCACAAACAGTGCCCCCACCCCTCTCTGACTTGGAGGCCTCCTTCCCTCCATCATTGCGCGCTTTTAAGCGACATTTGCCATCACATGGTGACGCTCTGCAATGCGTCGTCTTCATTCCAGACACCCACTCTTAGTCCATAAAGTCCTTCGTCAGTCCCTTGTACTCCTGATGTTCCCCCTCTGTAATGACGCCTACAATCGCAGAGTCATCGTAGAACTTCTGAAGGTGGCAGTTTGGAGTGGTGTGTCTGAAGTCCGAGGTGTAGAGGATGAACAGGAATGGAGCCAGAACAGTCCCCTGCAGCGCTCCAGTGTTGCAGAGAAGCCTGTCCGACTCACAGCTCTGCACCCTCACGTACTGCGGCCGGTTTGTGAGGTAGTCTATGATCCATGCTGTGAGATGGTGGTCCACTCCAGCGTTCTGCAGTTTGTCTCCCAGTAAGTTGGGCTGGATGGTGTTGAAGGCACTGGAGAAATCAAAGAACATGATTCTTACAGTGCTCCCAGCCTTCTCCAGGTGTGACAGCACTGAGGGGAGATGGTAGATAATGGCGTCCTCCACGCCGATGCCAGGCTGATAGGCAAACTGCAGCGGGTCCGGTGCCAAGCTCACCAGTGGTCGAAGGTGGGCGACGACGAGTCTCTCCAGCGTCTTCATCAGGTGAGACGTCAGCGCCACCGGTCTGTAGCTGTTCAGCTCCTTAGGGTGGGGGTTCTTGGGCACTGGAACAAGGCACGAAGTTTTCCACAGTTGTGGAGCTCTGCCCAGCTTCAGGCTCAGGTTGAACATGTGCTGGACAATGTCACACAGCTGGTCAGAGCAGGTCCTGAGGAGCCGGGAACTGATCTTGTCTGGACCTGCTGCCTTCCTCACATTCATCTTCCTCAGTTGGTTCCTCACCTGCTCTGTTGTGACGTACAGGCAGGAACCAGGTGACAGACTGGGTTGTCGAGAGCTGGTCAAAAGAGGAGGGGGAGGAGAAGAAGTCCTCAATGAGAGTGGGTGCAGCTGGTGGTTAGGGAAGGGACAGATGTCTGGTCGAAACGGTTGAAAAAAAACGGTTCATTTCATCTGCCCAGTCCTTGTCCTTGTCAGTCAATGTCTTTGGGCTGTTGTGGCCTGAGATGGTTTTCAGGCCTCTCCAGACACCAGTGACATTGCTGGCCTGTAAGTGGTCCTCCAATTTCATCCTGTATGTCTTCTTCCCCTCTCTGATCTTTCTTCTCAGCCGAATCTGCATGGCCTTCAGCTTCGCTCTGTTTCTCGACATAAAAGCCCTCTTCTTCTCCTTAAGGAGGGCCTTTATGTCGGGATTAATCCATGGTTTGTTGTTGGAAAAACACCGCACAGTTCTGGTGGGTACAGTGTTCTCCTCACAGAAGTTTATGTAGTCCGTGATGGTGTCAGTGAGTGCATCAATGTCCTCCCCATGAACCTCGCTGAAGAGTTCCCACCTGGTTGTGTCGAAGCAGTCCCGCAGAGCATCTTCAGCTTCCGTGGACCATTTCCTGACCATTCGGGTCACAGTTGGCTGCCTGTGCACCAGGGGTTTGTACACAGGCTCGAGAAATACCAAGTTGTGGTCTGCTCTTCCAAGAGGGGGGAGGGGGTGGGGTTTATATGCCTCCTTGGTATTGGCATAAAACAGGTCCAAAATTTTATTGTCTCTAGTGGCACAGGTTACATAATGCGTGAAGGTTGAAACGGAGGATGACAGAGAGACATGGTTGAAGTCCCCAGAGATGATCAGCAGGGCGTTGGGGGACTGTGTTTGCAGCCTGTTCACGACAGTCATCAGGGCATCACACGCTGCATCACCATTAGCCGACGGTGGGACGTACACTGTCACAGCTATGACGTGTGAGAATTCCCTCGGGAGATAACGGGGCCTGAGGCTAATGGCTAGCAGCTCAATGTCCCAGCTGCAGAGTTTCTCTTTGATGAAATGATGTCTACACAAAACCATTGAGAGACTTCCGCGCAAGAAGGACCAACACAATCAACATAGCCTGACTGCTGTGTTCAAAGCAAACTTGAGAAAAACGAAGTATGCAACCATGGCTTAAATCCATTATAGGCTGAGTACTAGTTTACCTTAGATGTGCACTTTATAATTTTATATTGCTCTGTTTTGATTCCCTAAAAAGAGCTGTTAAAGGCTGCGATGGCTTTATCGATGAGCGAAAACCCCTCGGCCAAGAGTTTCGTCTCGAATTTCTTCATGGGGACAGGCGTTTCCTCCTCCTCCTCCTCCTCCTCGGCACATTGCTGAGCCTCCAACTCCATGAGGTCTTGGTTACTCAATTCCTCCCCATGGGACTCAAGCAATTCCTCGAAGTCCTCCTCCTCCAGGTCAAGCTCGAGTTTCTCACTTAGCCCGACAAGAGTGATGAGAATGTCCTTATTGATGCCCTCCTGATCAAAGCCACAGAAGTCGCTGACGAACTGAGGGCATAGAGGCCTCCACACGGCATTGAGGTTGACCTTGGAAACCTCACGCCATGATGCTTCAATGTTTTTGACGCAGTTAAAGATGTTATAGGACTTCCAGTAGCTCCGCAAGGTCATCTCGGGGTTAGAATCCACTGCTTTCAAGGCATTCTTGTACGTCCGTCGGGTGTAATATTTCTTGAAATTGGCGATAACGCCCTGGTCCATCGGCTGCAGAAGTGAAGTTGTATTTGGCGGCAGGTATACAACTTTAATGTCAGGATGAAAATCATCCAAGTGCGGGGGGTGGCCAGGGGCATTGTCCAGCACCAGCAGGATCTTGAATGGAATTCCATTTTCACAACAATACAACTTCACTTCTGGGATGAAATGGTGGAAGAACCAGTCCTCAAATGCAGCGAGTGTCACCCATGCCTTGGTGTTTGACATCCATATAACGGGGAGAGAGCTTTTCGTCACGTTCTTCAGGGCTCGAGGGTTAGCTGCCCAGTAAACTAGCAGCGGCTTCAGCTTGAAGCTCCCGTCAGCATTCGCCCCAAGCATTAAGGTTAAGCGGTCTTTAGCCGCTTTATATCCGGGCATCGTCTTCTCCTCGCGGCTAATGTAGGTCTTCGCTGGCATTTTCTTCCAAAAAAGACCTGTGTTGTCGACATTGAAGACCTGCTTAGCCGAATAGCCACCCTCCTCGATGATCTCCTTCAACACCTGGGGGAATCGCTCGGCGGCCTCTTTGTCCGCAGATGCTGCCTCTCCGGACAGGGCCACATGGTGGAGATTAGCCCTCTTCTTGAAACGGAAAAACCACCCGTGGCTGGCAGAAAACGTTTCTTCGGCAGCGCTTTCCCCAGCCTTAGCCTTGACATCCTCAAAGATAGAAAATTGCCATTCATTTCATGCAATTTTTAAGTAAAAATGCTACATTGGGATACATCATTATCTTGTTCATATTCATGAAAATTAGGTCATTGGTTTAATATAAATTTTATCTCACAAAACTACTAGTGGTATCGATACTTCGTATTGCTAACTACTCAAGAGTACTCATTGCGGTATGAAAAAAAATGTGTACTGTGTATATATATAAAAAATAAAAAATCGTCGTCTCACCCCTCGGGTGGTGTCCATCCCCCATTCAGCTCGGGTCCTCTACCAGAGGCCAGGAAGCTTGAGGGTTCTGCGCAGTATCCTTGCTGTTCCCAGCACTGCACATTTCTGGACTGAGATGTCCGATGTTGTTGACATACCCGTAAAAATATATGTATACCGTATATATACACGCACACACAGCTGGGAGTGCCTGAACAGAATAAAAATGAAAAATATTGCAGTATGTAAACGCTATATCGTTTATTTTGCTTGCTACCTAAAGGTGATTTCTTCCATGATTCCCAATGATGATTTTGGTGGATTCGAGCCTCTCAGGTTACAGGTAAGAATGGAGTTAATTTTGTTGTCATTTTTATTTTTTTTCCAATATCATCCTCTCACTACTGGCTGTTGTCATGTCCTCTCCACAGAAACCTGGTTATTATCAGCCCAAGGTGGATGGTGCTCAGTGAGTACTATGTTTTATTGACAGAGCTTTTGGGACATACCTCTGTGTTGGGCACAGTGGCGTATGAATTTGATATGTATTGATATTCTCTCACTTGCACCCACATAGGATGGAAGTGTCATGCTTGATGCAAACCCACAAGCTTCTCTTCCATCTACTTCTTCACAAACTGTAATGGAAAAACAATATGTAGTTAAATCATCTTCATCCTGTTCTCTGGATTGGCACAGCTGGCAAAAACACAGAGGTAGGGGTAGATCCCCCTAAAAGGTGCCAAGTTGCTCTTAAAAATGGAGACAGTGGAAGTAAATTTGTCATCCACTCATGCCTGTGTGACCAGTAAATTAGAAGATTTTTGAAAAAAAAACTACTCTTCTTAATTTGGTTGTAGTTGTTGATGGTGTTGGAAGACTTTCCAAACTTTTTATTACAAAAATATAGTGAAAATTATTGGACTGAATATTTACTTCCCAAGTCGACTTACAATGTGCACCACAAAATCGTCTTCTTGCGCCCTTAAAAATTTTGGGTAAGGGGCCATATGCTTCTCGTAAAAAAGCTCATCTAGACAAGGAGGAGGAGAGCACATAGCCATAGCCTCGACAAAAGGGGCAGTGGAAGCAACTGCCATTTGTGAAAAAATAAATAAATAAACAAATAAAACACATGTAAAACACACGTAAAAAGATAACACACCCAAATCCCCCATGAGTGCAACAGCCACATAATCTCAACTTTGACTCAGGGGAAAGCAAATTTTGGAGACATGAGGATCTATCTCTGTGACTCAGATGGTGACACACATTTATATCTACTTCATATCAAAGGTGAATTGTAGATGGTTTATCATAAATTTAAAAACGTTTAGCTTCATATACTGTGGGGACTCACTCTCACTGGATGGGAAGAATCAAATATTTTTCAGCAGGGGGAGGGAGTACTGTATTTTTGTTGTTAATATGTTTCTAGTATGTATGGGCGGGTGGTTGACTGGTTAGCGCGTCAGCCTCACAGTGTAGAGGTGCAGGGTTCGATTCCGGCTCCAGATTTCCTATGTGGAATTTGCATGTTCTCCCCATGCCTGTGGGTTTTCTCCGGGTACTCCAGTTGCCTCCCACATTTCAAAAACATGTGTGGCAGGTTAATGGAACACTCTTAATTGTCCTTGTGTGAGTGTGAGTGCAAATTGATGTTTGTCTATCTGTGCCCTGCAATTGGCTGGCAACCAGTTAGGCTGTACCCCGCCTACTGCCCGAAGACAGCTGGGATAGGTTCCAGCACCCCTTGTGAGGATAAAGTGGATCAGAAAATGGATGGATGGATGGATAAATGGATGGATGGAGGTATGTGTGTGTGTGTGTGTGTGTGTGTGTGTGTGTGTTTTTTTACACACACACATATATACACACACGCACGCGCACACACACACACACACACACACACGCACATATGTGTGTGTGTGTTTGTGTGTGTGTTTATTTTTCTTACATATTCCGATGGTCCTCCAGCCCCTGTATGAACATGTATAATTTGGAAGACAAAATGTCTTAGCAGTTTTGACAAATTAGTGTCTGTTTAAGTCAAATGTTTCTTGAAGACAACATTATGTCACTACTTGACAGGGAGTCTCGCTACATGTGCATGTCAGTCCCTTACATGGCTCGAGGCCCAGGCCATTTGACAGTGCCCGGCGGTTCCAAGGTATTTTTATTTGAAGATCAGGACAAGGATGGGATGGCAACTGTCATATATGATGGACAGGTAAGAGGAAAAAGACAAAAATAGTAAAATATAAAAGTAAAAGTGCTAAAGCCTTTCACTTACTGATTTCAATTTTTTGTTTTCAGAGAGGACTTGTGCCAATGTCTCTGCTGAAGCCAGTAAATGTCAAGATGACCAAAGGCAAAACTGAAAGTGTAAATACTTTTGTTCTGTAATAATAGACAGATTTTTGTGACTGTTGTACTTTAAGACAGGGGTCCCCAACCGGCGGTCCGCGGACCGGTACCGGTCCGCCGGGCATTTGGTACCGGGCCACACAGAAAGAACTTGCCTTAATTCCGTTTTATTTATTTCGGAATACGAAAGATGTTTTATTTTGAAAAACTACCGGATTCTCCGTTACATCCGTCTGTGTCACGCTTGACACACGTCAAGCCACGCTTCTCCACGAAGTAGACTTGACCTAAAACACGCACTTGAGGTGTCATTGTCTCCTATTACCCCGAGATGGGACCGTCTGGTTGCAGAAAATCAAGCTCGGTGCTGTGGTGAGTCGTCATTTTCATGCACTTTGAATTTGCGTTGTATCGTATTTTGAAGGCATTAAACATTGCCATAGCGATCGGAGTGTTGCGGCCAGATTAGACGCTCCTTGTGTTTATTATATTTCGAAAACGCCACAGTTTTCATGCAGCTCATACCATATTATTTTGTTGTATTATTTCCGCGACACCTTAAATGCCGGTCCCTGAAAATATTGTCTGACATAAACCGGTCCGTGGGGCAAAAAAGGTTGGGGGCCCCTGCTCTAAGAGGTTCCGCAGTCTGGTACTGAGGTGAGCATTTCAATTGCAGAGATCAATAAAGTAATTTGTGGTCCCTAATGACTCTGGATAGGTTCTCGCTTCCATTCAACAAACATTCTTTTTTTTTTCTAAACTTTTTGTTCCAACTTGAAATTGGGATTACTATAGGACATTCAAGTGCCTTGCTAAACAGAACTGAATAGCACGCTCACCGACACCTCTAATTATAGCAAATTAACAGAGGCTGAAACTGAGTGGCAAATAAAAATGCACTACTATATACAGCAGCGGTCACCAATCTTTTTGAGAGTGAGGGCTACTTCATGTGTACTGATTGTGTGAAGGGCTACCAAATTGATACACGTCTGAAACAACATCTCTACAAATTACATTTAATAATATTAGAATGTGTTATTTTTAATACTTAATGATTTTAATTTTCAGGCTCTGATCATCTTATAGATGTCTCGCAATACTGCCAGTGTTTGCATTTTTAAATCATAATTTCTACTAGCAAATTACAATCCTAGCACTGGCGGGCTATTGGTGTAGTCCTCACAGGCTACCTGGTGCCCATGGGTACCACGTTGGCGACCCCTGTTATACAGTATAACGAAAAATGTTGTGTCTGGAAGTGGAACCAAAACACTGCAGTCACAAGTCATTGAAAGTCACAAAACAAAATTGCCACAATGGCTGTTACATATGATTGATTCAAGATTCAGATGGGCACCTGGTTGCTTCCTGCATTCCACAGAAATTGCATCAAAGTCATCATGGATCACAGATCACTTGATTGGTAGAAATAGGTCTTAGTTGGACAAATACACCAAGCATCATTGAGATTTTTTTTTTGTCAGATAAAAGAAAAATGGTTCACTTGCTTCACGTTATTTGTCTTTCAGACATTTGCTACTGGGATTCCCCTCCCTCCAGGTCTCAACCCACCCTCTCGTCCACAGAACTGGTCTCGTTCAGAAACTCCTTCTTGGGGTAAAATGAATTTCATCTTGTGCTAGACCTTCTATTATGTTATTGTTTTACTGTAATGATTAGGGCTGAATGATTTTGTGTTTTTGGATTGAAATCTCAGATAACACGCCTTGGTGAATTCAAAGCGGTGTTTTCTTAAAGCGCTCTAAGGAACAAATCCGCGCCTACATGACAGCAAAGAAGCTACACTTCTAACAAGTAGTGTTATCAATAAAGGCAGACGAGGAGTAGCATAAGCATGCAACACAGTGAGCGATGAGAGAACATAAGATGGACAGGCTAATGTTAATCGCTAAACTAATGGGAAATGAAGAAAAAAAAACAGTACGTGCATAGTTGCCCAGTACACTCTTCACAGATGTCTGGCTGAGAGCAAGCAGCTGTGAAGAGAAAATTAGTATTACCATTAATATGGGCTTTCACTTGTACAATGCTTTTCTGCCTACAAGATAGGTAGAAAAATAAGTATCGAGAGCAGAGGTCACCAACATGATGCCCGCGGGCACCAGGGAGCTACATGAGTAGCCCGCGGGCCTATTCCAAAATAGCTCACCTGTGATTAGAGACTGTGATTCTCCAGGAATATTGTACAAGTGATCATTTCAAAATGTGAACACTGGCAGATATTTATAATAAAGTGTGGCCAATGGATATTTACCATTTTCATAATTATTGTGAGAAATCGATAATATGATCAGTGGCTCCAAAATGAATATAATTCACCATTAATTATAACATATGATGGTAGCTTGAGCCAATTTATTTCAAAAGTGCATACTATCAAAGTGGTAGCCCTCCGCGTTAATCAGTAGCCAAGAAGGAACTCTTTGTTTAACCCTTTCAGGGACAGCGGTTACCATAATGGCCAGCTTATCAGGTAACAGGTTGTCATTGTTCATGAAAGGGTTAAAAAAAGGCTGGTGATCCCTGATCTACAGATAAACTAAGACAACAGCTACATAGCACCTGCCTGAAAACTGGAAATGAATCGCTTACGGTTGACTGCAGCTATGACGAGGAGCTTGTAAGGTCAAAAGTACATTAAATCTATCTATCAGCGAGGTTATTTGTGTTTGTTTTCACTCTTTTGCACCAATGAGTCATGAGTTTTGAGACCTACACAATAATAGGTCTCAAAATTTCAAACCCAGGTACTATGAAGTTGGGACATTGACATAAATAAAAACAATACAATGATTTACGAATCATTTTCAACCCATATTGAATTGAACACACTACAAAGACCAGATAAGTTCAAACTGATAAACTTCATAGTTTTTAGCAAATCAATGTTCATTTAGTATCTTATGGCTGCGACACGTTCCAAAAAAGCTGGGACAGGGTCATGTTTATAAATATTCAAGCCTCCTCGAAATTACCTTCAGTTCATGTGGTGTGTTGTATTATTTTGTCATTTTATGTCGTGTTCTTTTGATGGCGGCGCGGGCACCCGCAGCGGCTCCTCTTGTTGTCTGTTTAAGAGGGAAGAAATTTAATCTGTGCTGTATGTTCATTTGACAATAAAGTTGTACTTGATACTTGATTGGTGTTATTGTGAATTTGAATGTCATCTGCCCTGCTCTGAGCAGATTCCCATCGTGTTCCTTCACACTCCTGCTGTACATTGCATTTTGCAGGAGGACAACTTTCTTCAGACACACCACCGCCGTCCTACTCAACCGCCGCCTATACTGAACTGCCACTCCCAGAGCCTCCCAACTACGCAGCCAGTTCAGCCAGCGGTCAGGTATGCTCAGTGACAATTTGTTCTCAATTGCCGAACCTGACTAAATAAAGGTTAAATTAATCAGGGCTGCAGGTCTTCAGAAATGGAGAATGTTTGAATGTTGGTATCATGTGTTCTCAAAGTTATTGACCATAATCATGACAATGCAATAATCAAATAAGGTAACAGCCAGCCTCGCTTCTTGTACCTCCATTACACTGCAAAAAGCAAGAAAACAAAACGAACAAAAAATATATTCTAAGATTTTTTTTCTACAGTATTTTTAATCTAAAAAGAAAATTTATATAAGCATATTTTGTGTAAAAAAAGTAACCTTATTCAAAGTAAAAACATCTAACTTTTTCATTCCTATGATCGGCAGCTCATATTAAACTAGAATTAACAGTAACACGCTAAAAACAATGTTTGGTCAAGAGTTTCATTCCCCACGCACCAGAGGTCTGACATAAATCCTCAACTGAGCTCTGGGAGACACCAAGGTGGCAAATTCAGGCCATTTAGACCGCTGGAAAATACAGCGGAGGAGTAGAGCAATATGCTCATGTGTGGTGATTTTTTTGGGGAGGGTTGTTTTTTTTGGTCACATATAATGACTCTTACAATTCAAGAAAATCACTTGAGTTAAAACCAGTGCAGGGTGGAGTCTGCCTTCCGCTTGAGGTGAGTTGGGCTCGGCTCCAGCACTCACATGACCAGCCGTCTAAAATAATTGATGCATGTGTTGCAGCTCCGTAAAAGGAGAGCTGTGGTGTTGGTTTTTAAAAAGTATACTTTATTAATCCTTTTCACAGTCTCAACAAATACAGGAACGTCCTTCTCCGTCTCCGTGCCTTCTCTTCTTGTTCCGCTCAAGAGGCGTTCAAAGACCACCGCCGAAAAAAACGTAAATTAACAATTACTTCAAAGACACTAAGAAAAGCAAATACGATGCACCAAAACAGAAAATCAAGCGAGGAAATCACAAAATAAATTCTATGGGGGGGGTTTGTGAACATACAACAAAGGAATAAATTACATAAACAATTCTGAGACAGTCCAGTCTCCTACACATGGATGGATCTGCTTAAATTGTCATAACAATTACTTGAACGCCTGACCAATTGACCTCTTTTGAGTAAATTGTACTATAGGTTTGGACCAGGGGTGGGCAATCCCAGTCCTGGAGGGGCGCTATCCTACATGTTTTCCATCTGTCCCTTCTCCAACACACCTGATTCAAATGATCAGATCATCAGCAAGCTCTGTCGAGGCCTGAACAATTGAATCAAGTGTGTTGCAACAGGGACAGATGGAAAACATGCAGGATAGCGGCCCTCCAGGACTGGGATTGCCCACCCATGGTTTGGACAATGTAGGTATTCAAAATAAAATGGCAGTCATTTCTGAATGGTAACTGCCAAGCATTTTTAAAACCACTTCATTCAAAGCTGAAAAGCTACACTTCTTGACTTTTAAATCGAGTTGGTGTGTTTGTGTGTGTGTGTGTGTGTGTGTTTGTGTTTTTTTTTTTAATAATGATCATAAACCCTTGTCATTATTTAATTCAGTTGCCTAACATTTGCAATGACTGAGTGATTAAACTAACAAACAAACACAATAACCACTCACAGACTCATCAAAGAATGGTACACAACATTTTAGACTTGCTCTTTTGTTAGACCCAAAACTAAAATCAATATTTCGGCACTGAAATTGCAGACATGTTAAATAAATATGACAGAGAATTTCTGACAGTATTCACCGTACAGTATACTTTTGTGGATGATGTGTTTTCTTTTTTTGACAACTTCTTTTTTTTTCCCAGGATGCCACCTCGGTCCAAGAAGCAGAAGCAGACTCTGTGATCGTAAAAGTTCACTACATGTACACCGTGGCACTGTCAGTCCCTTCAAATACATCATACCATAAACTGAAGGAAGAAATTGCACAGCAACTGGATCAACCAGCATCATCTCTGCGCCTCAGGTAACTCTCCTGTTTGTTCCCTTGAACTGTCCGAGTCTTTTGAGAAAAAAAGTCCAACAAAATCAGTCGGCAAAATAGGACACGCGCAATCCCTTGAAGTCTGCTCTTTCTCTCATTAGACAGAGGAAGCACGGTTCTCGGGTACTCGTACCTCTTGAATGGGAATTAGAGGCAGGGAGGACTATACAAGACGTCTCAGAGGCCGGCAGAACGACAGTGTGGTGCCAGGTGGGGATTTCGATTCAACTACACTGATGTTCTGAAAAGCTCTTTCCTATCTTGTGTTACACTCAGTAACACAAGTGAAAAAAGAAGTTTGGTGTTTTTTTGGGGTTTTTTTTGTTTCATTTATATCCTATTCAGTGGATGGCTTGACTGAGTGCATGTCTGCCAGACCAACGTTTGCCATTCTTTTTGTGATAGCTGTGACTAGTGATGGGAATCTGAAGCCTCATGAAGCAATGAGGCTTTCCATCCAACTGGGTCGGTCCTGGGCCGATGCATCATGAGGCTCCATTTGTTCTATTGCGCCATCATGTGGAAAATAAATGTCATGACACAGTGATTAAAATACCATGGATTTGATGGAGTCAAAAGGGCAGGGAGTTGTGATGTGAATGAATGTGCGTGTGTTACTTGAAAGAATGATTGCTTTATTTTAGACATTGACATAAACAAGGAACAAGATACACCTTTCATTCATTTTTATTGAGGAAAACAAGCATTTCCAAAGTGTTTGGCTTTAAACGGTTTCTTTTCTTCGATAGGATTTCTCCTGCTTTTGAAAATAGTCTTTCACAAGGGACGGATGAGGCTGGGGTACAGAGAAAGGTTATAGCTAATTTGTAGAGGTTGTACATTCGTTGCAACATGTGGAAGGTGCTGTTCCAGCGTGTCTCCACCTGAAAATAAAAGGTCATTATTGTTTGAAAGGGGAGTGGAAGCAGTTATGGATGTCAACTTACCTCTTGAATGAGCTTCAGCACAGGCTCT